ACCAAACACTTCCTAACTTATTTTAAGCAAAGTTGTGCAGAGTCTTCATTTACATTGCCGCACCCGTGTCGGATTCTTCAAAAATACAGTACTTTTGGAGAATTTGACATGCACCCGTAGACATTTTTGAAGAGTCCGAGCAGCATAAATTTTAAGTCATTTTTGACTTATTTTAAGATATTTTTTATATTTGTCAAACACTTTTAAAAGTCAAAAACTGACTTAAAAGTAGGTTTGACCAACTTTTAAGCCAATCCAAACACCTTCTAAGACTAAACATCAATTAATATGGGTATTGTGGAATGATAGTCGATACTTATGTTAATCATTGTTTCGTAAGGGGTGTACAACGTCCAAATTGGGCAAGTAAAAGTGAACGGAGTGAGTATTCTGCTTTCAGGAGGAAAACAGTTGGTCACATTTTTTCCTTTCCTTTTTGGATGAGTGGGCAGGTGGTACGATGATTTCATTCAACAATGCCAAGCTTGTACTCCCTCCTTTCACTTTTACTTGTCACATTTGAACTTGACACACCCATTAAGAAAACAATGATTGACATTGTTATTTTACCACACTACCCCTATTAATTGATGTTTAGTATAAGATCTTGGAAAATGATTTGGGGAATAAGTAATTAATGTTAAGGGTAAAACATGAAAAAATAATAATTGTCTTCCCTTAATATGTTAAAAGTGACAAACAAAAGTGAAAATCTATTTTTGGGAATAGTGGACAAGTAAAAGTGAGAGAGGAAGTAGTTCATTGAAAACAAAAATTGGTTTCTGCTTATTTACTTTTGAAAAGTAAATGAATTTAGAAGGTAAAATATATATCTTATTATTAACAATACCACGTGGACAAAAAATATACACATGGCAGCGAGTGCATCACACCTCCTCCCTGGGTTGAGGTTGTCCACGGGGGTGAAGACTACCAAATAGTCAAGTATAGAGGGTTAATTAGGACAAATAAATAGTTTAAGTGTGCACCGAATAAGTGGTGCCAAGTTCAGGGGGTCCCGAGGTATTATGCTAACAAGTTTTTGATTGAGTTGTAGTTGTATACAGTTCAATTAAATATCCAGTGACATTCAGTATTAAACTAATGCAGTGCCAAATGGTAATACACCGTTTCACATTCATAAGACATGTAAGTGAGCAAATGAAAAACTCAGAAATAATGGCACCATAATTATTTTGGTGGCTGGACGCCTGAGGAAAAATACACCTGACATAAAATTATGGATTACTTATTTTAACATTTAGTTTGCAACATGATACTCATTTTAACATTTAGTTTGCAAAAATGAAACTCCACATTACATATGTTCCTGGATAACTAATAAAACATTTAGTTTTCCTGTTTACAACTGTGCAATAGCTATTGCAACAGTTGGTTCAGCGATAAACTCTGTATTATTAGTGGTGGTATAATTTATGCGGGCATCTATATGTTATTTTCTGTGGGGTAAAATGTGAAATAGATATACTTATATTAGTAACACCTGGATAAGGAATGCAATATTATGTCTTATCAAAGCAAAATGCTTTTGAAGATTATAATGAAAGAGTATCAAGTCCTGGTTCATTTCCTAGGGACTGATCCTCCACTGCTAGTGGAATGTGGCCAGAGAGAGTACTATACTCGGTTGAATGGAAAAAGTCGTTTATGTCCTTTCTGCTCTTGGTTCAAATGAGATGTGATGCTTGAGACATTTCAATATGCAGATGCCTCAGGACTTCCGTTCTCTGGACCAACTGCCTAGATTAAATAGAGATGATAAAGAAGTTAACGTTTTCTTACTGTTTATGGTTTCATATGTCATTGCTAAGATGTTCTTGGTTTTCCACAGAAACAAGTTAACAAGACTATCTGTTAATGCAAATGGTTCTCTTATTCCCAAGGGTTGCGTTGACAAGAACCAGATAAAAAAGAGCCCATGGTAAGTGCTTGTGCTGTTATCCATTTTGGAAGTTTAAATTTTCTCAATATCCATAAACATGTGTAATGGGCAAAAGCTGTATAAGTTTTCTGGTGAACTCTCGAGGCTGTGAATCACCCACTATCTTGGTCTCAATTGTTCTCTTAATAAGAACCTTTTTTTGGTTGAATAATAGTGAATCTTCCTTATTTTTTTACCTTTTTGGTTTCATTAAAACCTTTACTGCCTTGAGAAACCCTCTTAAGTGAATTGTCGTCGTGTTGCTACTAAGCTCTTTCATTAATCTTTTAGAGCTTATTGAACCAAGCAAGAACATAGTTATATGTGCGGAACATTTTCCAAGTTAGTCCAGTAAAAATCTGCAAGTTTTTTTGTTGTATCTCTATCTTTACTTAAGTCTCATTTTTCTGTTTTTCTATATACTTATTTTATCACCACTCCTGATCGACTTAGATAGATATCCATCCTTTACTGCTGAATTGTACCGTCTTCTCCTGCTCCATTTGACTCCAACGAGGATGTTTGAGTTATGATCCCAATTTAGCTAGTTCTGTCTTGGCTAGTTTCTACCTTACTATGAGGATTCTACTCGATCTTAGTTTCAAAATGGTCAATTGTGTGTTTAATAGTAAAAGTAAGCTACTTTATCACTTAACTTTAAAAGCTTACCCACTTTTACAAGCGTTTACCCATTTTCCCACCTTCGATGCCTAGGGTAGTGGTGGCTATTGCATTATTATTGGATTTGTTGTCTCTTCCAGGTTGAAAGCATTGGTGGCTATTCCAAAGGTTCAGCCACGATTTGCCATTGCCATATGGAATAAATATCCCACAATGAAATCTCTTTTGCGTGTTTACATGGATCCAAGTAAATCGGTAAGCAATAAAATTTCCTCCATCTCCTTGGAAAAGGTTTCTCATTTACTGATATCATGCTGTGACTTCTGGTTCACTATTTTACTTTTACGGCCTTGTATGTATGGGTAGATAATATCAAGAACGATACTTCCTTCCAGTGTCACTGCAAATACTTGCTACAATCTGCAAGTCCAACTTCTAGCCAACTAGGATTCTGGCTATCAACAGTGGCTAAGGGAGAGAAAAGGTAGTGATGCAGTGGTCTTGTTACACTATTCCTCTCCCTTTCACCAGTGTATTCAACTTGAGATGTTGGATAATATGAAGACATTTCTAAGGAAGGTTAAAATTTCTTCAGAAACTTACATTAGATTAGCATTATATTCAGTTCATCTGAGAGCACTGAGGAGTGTATGCTTAAGAAATGTCATTTACTAGAGGGCAAACTACTTTGTGGAGCTATATTCTCTGGTAAATGTCATTCATTCTTGTTAATGAGGATACTGTCATGGAAGGTGCCATTCATACGATTCAGTTCAAACAAGAGCTAGATTATACTAAAAATTGAAATGTTACGGTAACATCTCAGTTCATACAATTCAATTCCACTTGCTTCGTTGTACTTATCTAGTCTAAGCAAATAACAATGAATGGATGGTCGGATGTTGATACATTTCATGTTGTAATTATGTTGATCCTTTGGGGGGATAAAACGAGTTTCCAACATATTTTCACTCTTGAAAAACTTTCAGGTGCATGAGAAAGAATTTCTGCTGAAAGATTTGAAAGTGGAAGGGATGGTGTCAGATGATAGAAGATTGGGAGAGATTTGTTCAAAGAGAGTTTACAGAATATTGATGGCTCAATCTGGAAGCAGCAAGACAGATGACATAGAGTGTGGAGCTGATTTCTTCAGTCAACATTCTGCTGAATGATCTATAATCTTTTGTGACATTGGTGGTGTTTGCCTAATTTGTGCACACATCGACTAATTCAACGGACATCTTGTCTGACCCACAGGCACATGTATCCAAGGTAATCCCGTCTACCAAGACTGGAGCAGATCGACTCACCATTTTTTGTTGGGGTTTGGACTTGGAATCTCCATGTTGTTAGTCCTATTGCCTCAACCATTTGGCGATCGACTTGAGCTCAGTGATCTATAATATTACTTAGCATTGTAACATGCTTATCAGCTCTAAGTGATCCAAAACTATGGGTGTTATGTATATGCTTCATATCAAGTAGGTTATTTGCATCAAGATTAAGATGCACATGTTGTTAGAGAATGCTGGATTTAATTTGTTTCTTAAAATTGAATTTCTGCATGCTCTTAGCCATTGACAAATAGGGAAAAGAAGAAATATAAAGAAAATAAATTTAGGACTCTATTTAGGGTATCCATTTCGTTAGATTTTTGCCCCGATTGTTATCATATATTTGAATTTTACTTTTCTCTAGAAGAAAAATTGGAACGTATCACCATAATTATTTTTGTTTTTTGAAAATATAAATCTTTTCAATATTTGATTATTCCTTTCTGGAAAAGTTTGGAGCTTTCTTCTCATACCACAATACAATAACATCCATAATACATTCGTTTAAGTTTTGTGAAAGTTTATTCCTTAATAGATTTTTTACTTTCAAAATTTACTTTTCAATATGTGAGTTAGTTGATCAAATCATCATTATCAAATAGTAATAATATGTTAGTGCATTTTTTGGTATTGAATTTATCATCGCTATATAATTGTAATTATTAACTTTCGCAAGACACTCTAATTATTTTGATCCCAACATATTTTATTTTTAATGAGATAATTTATAGTGGCACTTACACCGTTACACTACAAATTAAAAAAAGATGTCTACTCTCTTAAAGAGAAAACTGAAAAGTAATGAATACACCCTAAATTTGGTGTAAATTATTAACTTCATCCTAAACTATTAACAAACTTAAAAGTAACCTTTATTTGATCAACTGAACTTAAATACACTCTTTCTCTTGCTACGGAAGTGAAATACACCCCTAAATTCCCATCAAGTTTAGGATTGTTTTCAACACGTTTCTTGATTTTTATCAAGAGCCCCATGCTCCTATAAGAATTTGAGACTACTTGCTATGTTATATGGCCGATTGGGGATGTATCATAAGAGTGTAGGGGATAAAATAAAACTAATAATTTGCGTAGCTGTGATTTAGTACTTGTCTCCTCTCTTATACTTCATGCAACTTAAACAGCATCACATAGATTTGCACCAGTGACTAGCTGCTATCGAAGTGCTCCTTGCTGGTCAAAACGAACCCAATTGGGCAATGGTTTTCGAATCAAGAATTTGCCGCCTTTATAGAAGTCCTCTTCATCACCTACAATTCACACTTCCTTCTCCGATTTTCAAGTTTCAAAATAGCCTCTTTTCGACCTCTATATCCAACTATATTTCCTACACAAACCTCCTTTCACACCTTTCCAAAACTAAGTCTTTAACCCCAGGTTTTCAAATCCATGCCCATTTAACCAAACTTGGATTATCTAATCATAGTAAATATAGGAACCATTTAGTTAATTTGTATTCAAAATGTGGTATTTTTCAATATGCACAGAAACTGATTGATGAAAGTCCTGAACCAGATTTGGTTTCTTGGTCATCTTTGATTTCTGGGTATTCCCAGAATGGTTTTGGTAAAGATGCTATATGGGGTTTTTTAAAAATGCATTCTTTGGGTCTTAGATGTAATGAGTTTACATTTCCTAGTGTGCTTAAGGCATGTTCTATTGAGAAGGAGCTTTTTCTTGGTAAGCAGCTTCATGGGGTTGTTGTGGTTACAGGATTCGATTCTGATGTTTTCGTTGCGAATACTTTGGTTGTGATGTACGCAAAATGTGGCGAGTTTGTGGATTCTAGGATGTTGTTTGAGGAAATCCCAGAAAGAAATGTTGTTTCTTGGAATGCGTTGTTTTCTTGTTACACGCAAAATGATTTTTTTAGTGAGGCGATGTGTATGTTTCGTGACATGATTGGTAGTGGAGTTAGGCCGGATGAATATAGTTTGTCCAATATATTGAATGCTTGTACTGGGTTAGGAGATATTCTTGAAGGAAAGAAAATACATGGGTATTTGGTGAAGCTTGGCTATGGTTCTGATCCGTTCTCTTCTAATGCACTCGTCGACATGTATGCAAAAGGGGGAGATCTTAAGGATGCCATTACAGCTTTTGAGGGAATTGTGGTACCTGACATTGTTTCATGGAATGCTATTATTGCTGGTTGTGTTCTTCATGAATGCCAATGGCAAGCTATAGATATGTTGAATCAGATGAGAAGGTCAGGAATTTGGCCAAACATGTTCACATTGTCGAGTGCTCTCAAGGCTTGTGCTGCACTAGAGCTCCCTGAGTTGGGTAAAGGGTTGCACTCTCTTTTGATAAAGAAAGATATAATTTTGGATCCATTTGTGAGTGTTGGTCTTATTGATATGTATTGCAAGTGTAATTTAACCAAGGATGCGAGGTTGATCTATGATCTGATGCCTGGGAAGGACTTAATTGCATTGAATGCTATGATCTCTGGTTATTCGCAGAATGAGGCAGACGATGCATGCCTAGACCTTTTTACTCAGACATTCACCCAAGGAATTGGATTTGATCAGACAACCTTACTTGCCATTCTCAACTCTGCTGCGGGCTTGCAGGCTGCCAACGTCTGCAAACAAGTGCATGGACTCTCTGTGAAGTCGGGATTTCTGTGTGACACCTTTGTTATAAACAGTCTTGTTGATTCTTATGGAAAATGTACCCAGTTGGATGATGCAGCTAGAATTTTTTACGAGTGCCCTACTCTGGATTTGCCATCTTTTACCTCTCTCATAACAGCTTATGCTCTACTTGGTCAAGGTGAAGAAGCTATGAAACTGTATCTGAAGTTACAAGACATGGATCTCAAGCCAGACTCATTTGTTTGCAGTTCTCTCCTAAATGCATGTGCAAATTTATCAGCGTACGAACAGGGGAAACAAATACATGCTCATGTGTTGAAGTTTGGGTTCATGTCAGATGTGTTTGCTGGTAACTCTCTAGTTAACATGTATGCCAAGTGTGGAAGTATAGAAGATGCTAGCTGTGCTTTCCATGAGGTTCCTAAGAAAGGTATCGTTTCATGGTCGGCAATGATTGGAGGACTTGCCCAACATGGACATGCGAAACAGGCGCTTCATTTATTTGGTGAGATGTTAAAAGATGATGTATCTCCAAATCACATAACATTAGTTAGTGTCCTTTATGCATGTAATCATGCTGGCTTAGTTGCAGAAGCCAAGAAGTATTTTGAAACAATGAAAGACTCGTTTAGGATCGAACCAACTCAAGAGCATTATGCATGCATGATTGATGTCCTGGGCCGAGCAGGAAAACTAGATGATGCTATTGAGCTCGTAAATAAGATGCCTTTTGAAGCTAATGCATCTGTCTGGGGTGCACTTCTTGGTGCTGCAAGAATCCATAAGAATGTAGAGGTAGGAAAACATGCTGCTGAGATGCTTTTTAGCCTTGAACCAGAGAAATCTGGCACTCATGTTCTCCTTGCAAATATTTATGCATCAGTTGGGTTGTGGGGAGATGTCGCAAAAGTAAGAAGATTTATGAAGAACAGTAGAGTAAAAAAGGAACCTGGTATGAGTTGGATTGAAGTGAAAGATAGTATTTACACATTTATAGTAGGAGACAGAAGCCATCCGCGAAGTGATGATATATATGCCAAACTGGAGGAACTGGGACAGCTAATGGCTAAAGCTGGTTATGTTCCTATGGTAGATATTGATCTCCATGATGTAGAGAGGAGACAAAAGGAGATTCTTCTCTCCTATCATAGTGAGAAACTAGCTGTTGCATTTGGGCTGATTGTTACACCTCCTGGTGCTCCTATTAGAGTGAAGAAGAATCTTCGGATTTGTTTGGACTGCCATACAGCATTCAAGTTCATTTGTAAAATTGTCTCAAGGGAGATCATTATTAGAGATATTAACCGGTTCCACCATTTCAAAGATGGCTCTTGCTCATGTGGGGATTACTGGTGATACTTGAATGTGTACTATGCCTACGCATATGATGTCCCTACTTCCTATTCATATGAATGTAGTTGAAAGACTGGATACATGATACATCAGATCATTTCCTCTGGTGCATTAACTCTATTTCAACAAAGTGAGGCAACTCTAAGAGGTCAATCAAGGTATATCTTTTGAGATCACCCTGTTACTAATCAAACTCCAAATGTTTGCATGTTTGCCCAGCGAGATGCAGGAATAACTTTTTAAATACACACCATGCCTTTTTGTTTTGATAACTGCAATAAAAAGTGACCACTTTCTGTTGGTCTTTCTTTAAGCAAAATTAGCATGGATTTATATATTATTATTATTATTATTAATGATGTATCAATTTCTTTTTATATATTTGTGTAGTTTAAGTGGCTGTCAGATGACTTCTTTGTCTGGCTATATTAAGTTTACCAATTTATAGTCATTATAGAAAAATGCCCTTTTCATAAGCTAATAACATTAAAAACAGTAATACTCTACTATATAGATAATTTTCTTTATCATTTAGTATGGTTTTGGATAGAAAGATCTTTGACTTCATTTAACTTATTCTTTTCTTATTTTGATCAGTTTGATCAGTGTGGTGACGATCCTATAAACAAGATGAAAACTACAGTAGCAATTCGAAGTCTTGTTGACTTCCATGGTCGTTCTCAGTACTGCTACTTACCAAGTAGAAGAACTTCCCAAAGTTGTACGTATTAATGTACCATACCTTGATCTTTGATTTCTTCATCATCTATCTAATTTCTTCTCTCATTAAATGTTTTTTTTTTGTGTGTTTGTAATAAAAAGGAACAGTGCTAGATTCCAAGGATAGCCAGGCTAGTCTCTTTATGCAGTCCTACACCTTAACCAAATGGTCATTTGTTAATATGTCAAGAGACTTTGTCTATTACTGGCTGAGCGTAATGATCTGCTTGATGGTCTCCGTCTGCATTGGAATCATCTATATTAATGCGGGAACCAATATACTTCCATCCAGGTAACTTATTTCTCCTTAGTGGGATTTTTAACTTGACCCTTCATTCCCTTGTGATTAATTTCTCCTACAAGAAGTCTCATTTTTTCCGTTGCTTTAATTGAAATTATGCAGGCAAGATGTGCATTTGCAGCTTTCATATTTGGATTTTTGACATTCATGTTGATTGGAGGTTTCCCTCCATTCATGGAGTATATGAAAGTTTGTACTTCTTAATTATGGCTTTCTTGAAAAAGCTACCTAAATTTATGATAATACATAGCCACACAATTCTAATAATTCATCCTATATTTGCACTTAAAACAGATTTTTCAAAGGGAAAGGATGAATGGGCGTTATGGTGTCACTGCATTTGTCATAAGCAACACGTTATCTGCAATGCCTTCCTAATATCGATTGCATTTCTTTCTGCTACTGTCTGCTACTTCATGAACTGGTGAGAGTCATGCATAACTGAGCAAGCATGCCTCAATCTCGAAATAGTTGGGTCGATTATATTGATTCTCTGGATAGAAATTGGAATTCCTGAGAACTTAAGGGATGACTAATTGATAAATAAATATGTACCATTATTTCCCCCACCCACCCCACAAATTGACCTTGGGTTTCTCATAATTAAACATGAAAGAACACCTTCATATATCCCCACTCCTAAAGTTCCTTTTTCTTGTAACACTTTGATCAAAGTTGTGGGCCTATTTTATACAGCACCATATTTTGTCCTTTGATGAAAAGTACTGTTTGGTACCACAATTAACAACTTCCCCTCTTCCTCTTCAACAAAAATATGTATCCTACCACAGGTATTTTATTTTCTTCATGTTTTTTGATTAGTTCTTTTAAATTCTTCAATTGATTCTTTTTGTATTTGTTGCTTCTTTTTTCTTTTCTTTTTTTGGCTTGGATTATGGTTGAAATTAAACAAGGACAATTACTTTTTTCCATCAATCTTGAACTTTGATCATAGAGAGGGAGGGGGGGGGGGGGGGGGGGTGTTGATCACTTGTTGCATTGGCAAGTGGTCACAAAATTTTAGGACTGCTGTGTGTGGACAATTTTAAAGAGAAAAATTGGACAAATGGAAAGAAATCACCTACTGTTTTATTTCTGCTGGGATTTCGGGCCTGTTTGGATGGGCTTATAAAAAGTAACTTATAAGTCAAAAGGTAAAAGCCATAGGGGTGCTAAAAATAAGCTAATCCAAATGGGCACTTAAACCTGAAACCTCGTGGTTTTCAATCCACTTCATTGACCACTAGGTCACTCCCTTGGGTGCTAAGTATGGATTTTATCCGAGTCATTATTAGAAATCATTGTGAGCTTTGATACTTGCGGACTTTATTTCACTTGAAGTTTAGTTGACGTTGATCATTTCTAGTTATAAACTATGGGTTGGGTCTTTTAGCGATTATTCAGAAATTCGTCTGAAATTCTACTATGCTGGACACTTTTCACTGAAATTCAATTAATTTCTGTTCTTTTTTCATTGTAATAGGTCATTGTACAATTAGGTGGCTATGTTGGAAATATTCTGAGTTTCTGCCAATACTGTACTCATTTAACCTTCAGCCCACCTTCTATATTCCTTTGTTTCGTTTGGTTGTTTGGTGTGATTTCTGAAGGCTTGATTGTGAATTTTCTCCATCACTGGGATTTCTATTGCAATTTGCGCCTTTAAGTCTTATTTCTAAGAAGTTATGGATTTTATGCACTCAATAGTACTCTTTTTCCATAATAAAGAAGAAAGCGAAACTAGTGTTGACAAAAATTCTCTCTTCTTCAGGTTTTGATTTGACTCCATCCATGGTTGCTGACACCCTGCTATCAGAGCTTTCAAAATATAGTGTTCCAATAGTCAGATGCACTAAAGCTAATGCTGATTCGCAGAGTCACTCTTCTTCAATTATAGACCACAACAAAGATGGCGGTAAGACTTGAATTGGCCTAATTTGAAGTTTTTAATTGAATGCCAAGTTTTGAGACATCATAGTTACCATTATGGCAAAAAGAATGACATCTCTCTTTATCTCATAAAAATACTTCGAACTTCTCATTTATCCTTAATGAGATGATTTAAAGCCACAAAAATTTTAATGGCTTGGCTTGTTTTAGACCACAAGTTCAATAAATCTTTCTTTTTCTCTTAAATTTTGTGCCTAGTCAAACACCTTCATATAAATTGGAACGGAGGGGATAGTATTTATCTAATCATTTAGTTCCTTCTGTCATTAGTTAACATTATCGGTCACTTCAGTTTCCTGACTTATATTCTTCATTTGATGATCTCTGTTATTAGTTTACATTAATTGCTGTCATCATCATTCATCTCCAGAAGCTTTATCTGTGCTGTTCTGCGATCATTCCTTTAGCATAGCCGCTAACCGAAACCTCAGACTCTCTGATATCCCAGGTTCTGTTTGTTTTAGTCATATTGTCAAGCATGTCACTGGCCTTAGTGAAAGTGTGAGGCATCATAGAACCTCCAACAATATTATATGTCATAGCTTTGTTCATAAGTTCAATGACCTCTAGGACACCTCCAAAAGGACATCATCTGGCAACCTATGATTTGGACATCACTTCAGCTTCTTCTTGAACCGAAGCCAAGTTTCATGCAAGGCTTCCCCTGATAGCTCTGTTCGTAGAGTTCAATGTTTCTGCCTAATTGTATCTATGTGGATAATAGGTGGACCAACATATATTTGCTATAAAACATCAAAATATAGCTATATTGTGTACAATAACAACAATAGCATACTTAGTGTAATTTCACGTGTGGGATCTGGGGAGAATAGGATGTAAGCAAACCTTACCCATACCTTTGTGGGTAGAGAGGTTATTTCCGATATACCCTTGCCTTCAAAAAAAAAAATGTAATCTAAACTAGGTAGAAAGAAAAATAGTGATTGCAGAATAACAATATAAACAAAAGCAAACAACTAAACTAATAGTAAAATAGAAAGATAAGATACTATGTGAATACTAGGTAAGACTGCTAAAAAAGAAGAGAAAATGAGCTCTTTGCCTCCCCCATGTAAATGTACTACAACGCTCGGCTATCTACTATCCTTCTTCCCTAATATCCGACCTCCAAACATTTATATTTAGGATCATGTGTTCAGTAAGTTGAAGATATACCATGTCCTGTTTAATCACCTTTCCCTGGTTTTTCTTTGGACTACCTCTACTTTTTCTCTATACCTGCTATAGTCAAACTTTCACACGCGCAACTCTTCTTCATATGTACAAATCTTTTTAGTCTCACTTTCTCATTTATTCTCAATGGAGACCATTTCCACCGTCTCATGTATAACTTCATTCCTAATATTGTTTCTCCTAATATGTCCATACATACGTCTCAACATTCTCATCTCCTCTATCTTCGTATTCTAAACATGTGGATTCTTAACAGATCATTTCTTTGCTCAATACAACAACATAGGTCTTAACAAACTATGTAGAACTTACCTTTAAACTTTGGTGACATATTTTTATCACATAGTACCCTAAACTTGAATCACTCACCCCTCTCTAATACGATGAAAAACATCATCATCAATCTTTTCATTTGCTTTGATTATAGACCCAATGATTCGAAACTTTCTTTCTTGGGTATGCCTTGTGAATCAATCTTTACTTCCACCATTGTTTCTTGCGATTTGTCACTAAACTTGCATTTAAGGTATTGTTTCTTAGTGCGGCTCAACCTTAAACCTTTAGATTTCAGAATTTGTCACCAAATATCCAACCAATCGTTAACTCCACCACACGTCTTATCAGTCAATATTATGACATTTGTGAATGGCATACACCAGGACATATTCTCTTGAATATATCGCATCAATTCGTCCATCACTAAGGTAAATTGATGGAAAATCACTAATATATCTCCCTTGTTCTCGTACAACATAATCATGGTACTCCATATCTATTCTTGTAACATTTTAATAGCTTTACTTTCTTATCCCTATTATATTGTAAATAATATATATTAGAACAATATTATATTTCAAATAAATATTGATCCCTTATTTACTACTATATTACAAAGTTTTTTTTCATATAAATATTTGGGGGACAAGGAAGGGCCACAACTACAACTAAAATGAGGAAACTTGTTTGTAGGCCATGTTGAAGGAGGAATGCCCACTTGCTGTTATTTTTTGTCTCTTGGAATTACCATTGGGCCCCCACTAGGCCCATTTCCATACTCTAGGGCCCACAAGTACATATGGGCTATGACGCTACGTAAGTGGACTTCACACTACTTGATAACTCCATTTGCCTTAGTTGGTGATGGCCCAACAAAAATAATAAAAAAAAAATCCGTGTTTCTTTAATAAATAAATTGTGTTTACGTACTTTCAAATATTTTATAAAAACTCATTAGTCAATAATAGTATTAACTAGTTATTTTTGAAAATAATCTTTTCACATAGTACGTATAGTCTCTTCACACTGAACATGTTTTTAAAAATATATATATATATAGAAAATATAAACTTATAAGTCAAATTTGCATTTAAAATAAAATAAAATCATGATTCGAAATCTCAAATCATAGTTTTTTTAGAATTTGAAATTATGATCTCAAATCACATGTTCAAACGCTGATATAAGATCATGATTCAAAATTACGAATAACACATTATATGTTTACATACAACCTTAGGATTAAAGATAAATGATGCTTACTATCTGAGCAAACCCTATTGTCTTTTTAAATAAAATAAAAAAAATCAATGTTCCTTTTATAAATAATTATTTGCGCTGTTTAAAAAAAAGAATATTTGCGGTCACGAACCTTCAAATACCCGTAATTTTATAATGATTTATTAATCAATAATAGTTTAGCTAGTTATTCTTGAATATAATCTTTTCACGTAGTATGTATAGTCTCTTTATGCTGAGCATGATTTTTTCAAAAATATAAAATCTATAATAATGCGTCTATTTTTTTTATAAAATATAAACTTATGAGTTAAATTTGCATATTGAGTAAAATCGTGATTTGAAATCTCAAATCATGTTTTTGGAGAATTTGAACTCATGATCCCAAATCACATATTTAAACGCTAATACAAAATCATGATTTAAAATTACAAATAGATGTATGTGAGCAAACCCTTTTGTCTTTTTATAATTGAACTTACTCAGTTACCCACCCCTCAAAATTCTTTAAAATAATTTAGCTTCTACACACTTTCTCAAGAATATATACCTAACTTTAAACATTCTAATCATTTTCCTTCTTGATATATTATAACAATTAATGAAAGAAGATTAGGAATAAAAATATTAGTTAGTACATGTATATAATAAGTTATGGACACTAGTCACTACCCAAGATTGGTTCAACTACTCCTTGATATGATCTTTTATTATCTTGTACCAAAATAAGCCTTAAATTTCTCGAAGTGACCACTTTTTCTTCATCATATCCCAAAACAGCCAAATACTCACACATCCATCAAATCCAGCTATATAATATTCCCTTTGTTTCAATTAATATAATATAGTCTGAATTTTGAAAATCAAATTATTTAGTTTAGATCGTGATTCGTGAATTTAGATATCAAAATTTTAAAATAAATTTTTATATTCAAAAACTAAGTAAAAAAGTATTATAAGTAACATTTATTGACAATTTAAAATATTTAAAAGACATGAAAAAATCATGAAAGACTTGTTTGCATCTTGAAATTCGAAAAATGCAACATAAATTGGGACAGAAGAAGCAATACAACATTTTATCCTGTAATATCCGGGTCATTTGCGCTTTTGCCCTTATTTTATCCCGATTTTTTTTCCCCTCAAGATAAATAACTTTTTTGCAGGACATAAATTTATATATTTTGTCCTTAAAGAATTTATGTCACATTAGATATAAATTTGATATAGACCAATTTATTTAACCGATAAAAATTAAAGACCAACGTATTTGAAGAACAAACCGTGCCATCAAATGATGATATCCATATTTTAAAAAAAAACGAATCTCGAAAAACAACCACAATCTTCTAAAAAATATTAAATCTAAGTCACTTTCTGGGCCCATGCATAAAACCCACTAACGTACAATATAACATATATACACATAAGATATACACATTTCTTACTTCATCTTGTTCTAACTAATATACCATTTTTTGAGTTTTTTTTTCTCTTTTTCTTGATCATGGAGAAGAGTAAATCTTTCCCTTATCACTCTGCATCTTACAAAGAAGCAAGATTTGATTTCGAGGATCGAACGAAATCTTTTAGCTTCAATGGACCTGTGGGGGGGAATTCAGAGACGAAGAGGAGGAAAAGAATAGCTAGTTATAACATGTATTCCGTTGAAGGTAAGGTTAAAACATCTTTGATGAACAGCTTCAAGTGGATTAAGAGCAAATTCTCTGATAATTATTACGATTAGTGGTGTGTTTAATAAAAGGAAAACTTTATTTTATATTTTTCCCCTTCTTGATTCTCTACTTCTTCTTGATATTGCCATGTAACAAATTGTTTTTTGAAGGTTTTTTGTATGGTGGTTATATGAACATCATGTATGTGTAATGAATGGGAAGAATTAAGTCATGATTATTGTATACATATGTGTGTGTTTTTTGTACTTATTTGGTAAGTTTTCAATGAAGTTTAGCCATAGCTTGAATTGCTAATTTGTGTTTCTATCTGATCAGTGACGGATTCAGAATTTCTTTTAAAATGTTCACTATATACTATTACTTACGTTTCAATTTGCTTGTTTTACTTTTTTTTAGTCTGTTACAAAAAGAACACATGCTTCTCTTTTTTGGCGACTTTGTTATTCTGATTTTCCACTTAACATGTTTAATACCAACAAATTGAAGACATTTTGGCCTATTCTACATAGTTTTAGTCTAAAAGTCTTCTTAAATTTCTTAAATTCCGTGCAAAGTTAAAACTAGACAAACAAAATTATACTTCGAGTATATATATAACTTTTTTTTTAAATTTCATATATAGAGTTTAATTTATTGGAAATGGACATGTCGATGTCTCCATTGCCCCACTAATGCTCTTGAAAGAGATTGGACAAGTAAATACGCCCCTCGTAATTTGTTAGTGCTCTATGATTGGAAATAATTAGTTTGTTTGTAGCAAGTCAATGAGTTCTTCAATAAATAGAAAAAGAAAAGTAAATATGATTTAGTTTTCATAAATTGAAATAAAAAATTTAAAAGTGAAAAAAAAACAGAGCTACATACTAAAATAGCAGTGAAGTGAAGTTTTCATAAATAAGAATAGTATTTTAAAGTTGACTACATAATTTATTTAATAAGAAGTTGTTCAATAAATACTAATTCTAATTAAGGTGTTTACGTATATAAATTCAGTGACAAATTTTAAGGAATCGTCTATGACTTAAACCTTAATTTTAAAAAAAGCTTGTTAATTGCCCCCCAAAACAAACAAATTACTAAGTAATTTAGGTATGTCAGAAAATCTTTGCATATTGTATTTTTTATTTCATCAAATTAAAATAATACACACAATCAAAATCAACAGTATTTCTGAACCAAATGCACGAGTAAACAGTTAAATTAAACAAAAAAAGAGCAACATTTCTAATTAATTAATGGGATGATTGCATTTTAATCCTTCAATTTTGTTGCTTATTATATCAAACTCAACATATTTAACCTTCCATTTAATAATAATAAAAAAGCTTTATTTTTTGTCCCTTTATTTAGAAAATATATATTAAAAGTATTTTTAGAATTATATTACTCTCAAATATCGAAAAACAATACAAACTCAACATTAGACAGAATAAGTAATGTATCGGTTAATAATTCAATAAATTTGTAAAAAAAAAAAACACAAGCAAAAGGATTAAAAACCTAAGTGCATCAATTAAATTTCTTAATTAAAGGTCCAATACACTTTGTCAGATATCACAACGATCAAAATCAGAATTTACTAATAACTAATTAACTAGCATCTTCAAAGCTAAATATCTTAGAGATTTTGTGGTCCATTAGATCATGATGATTTCTAAAATCAATGGTTGAGATTGACCTACGATTAAGACTTAATCTATTATCTTCATAATTTTTGGATGCTTCAGTAATAGAGGCTAATAAAATTGGATAATTTTTAATGTTTTTGAGAGCATTAGGATGTGCCTCAGTTTTAGAAAATTGATTAATGTTTCTAAATTTGAAAAATGGAGTTGTTGAAGGAGGAGGACTTTGATTAATATTATTATTAATCATGTTTAAGGAAAATGAATTACTACTACTTTCAACCATATCTTGGCTTTGGTTACTTGACTCCCCTTGCTTTTCCTGTTAAATCAAAATTAAGGAAAATTTAATCAGTTTCAATTATATACGCGGACAGTATTATAAAATGATCTTATATTGTCATGTTTACTAAAAGGGTAAATGTAAGTAATTTAATATAAAAAGTGAAAAATTAGAAGTATAGAAAAATATGACAAATTATTTGTTATAATATGTCCAGATATAGTAATACAATAAGTGTATATGTATTAAATCCAAATGCATGTAATTAACTTGTAATTTTTAGTGTATTGTTCTTTCGATGTATGATATACATACTGAAATATTGATTAATTTGAATTTAAAACATGTAAAGTTTATTAAAGGAATTTTTTTTCTTGATAATATTTTTTTGCAATTCAAAGGCTCAAATAAAAAATATATGATTAAAGATAGAAAGATTTATTCCACTTATTATCTTGATGATGATAAAAATGCATATATACTATTGAAACCTTACAATATGTGAATGATAAATCCATTTTTTTTTTTTTTTTTGTGAATGATTGGTTGATGTCCAAATTTGTTTTGGTAAGTGGAAGTTAATTGCCAACCTCATGTGCATGTTATTTGGTTGGATGCATGTGGAGGTATTTATGGCATTTTGTGTCCTATTTAGAATGAAAAAAGTTAATTTTTTTTTTTAAAAAAAAAGTAGAACTATAGTTCAAGAAAATTTACTTGACTAACTGAACTCTCTAATCGTGTAATATGAGTGAAATACACCCCTAAATTCTCGTTAAATTTTAGAGGTGTTTTCAAACTTCTCTCGTTTTTATTAAATTAAGAGTCTCATGCTCCTGCAAATGTTTGAAACCACTTGCTATGCTATGCAGTAGATCGGTGTGTATCTAAGTTTAGTTAGTCAAGTAGAGGTGTATTTTTAATGTTGTTAATAGTTTGGGAACAAAACTAATGCTTTATTGAATTTAGAAATCACAATAGATAATTGAGACGAATAGAGTACATTTTCTTACAAATTCAAGAGAAAAAAACATAATTAAAAGAAAAAAGAATTTACCTCTTTTGAGTTTTCAGAAATATTGGAGAGCAATTTTTTATAGCCCTCTCTATTTTTCTTAACCCGTTTGCCTTTTGAAGCTCTCTTCCTGTGGTGCAATTTATTTTTAATTATTTATTAATCATCATAGCAAAATACAAGAAAATAAATAGATACACACCATTTAGTTATTAGTATGAAAACTATATATATATATATATCAATATTATGAGATATGCATAGTTAAATAACACAGGGATTAAAATCTCTATTTTCCCTAGTTATAATATGGATAGTTTAAATAAAAATATATAATTATGCATTCCATTATTGAAGGGACCATAATTTATACAATAAGATTACTTAAAAGACTCAAATATCTTTTGTCGAATATCAAGAAGAATTAAATTCCTGATTTTAACAAAAAAATAAGGGACCACAAGCAGACACCACCCAAAAATAAAGGAAAAAGGATAAATAAATAACTTTATATTATATATTTATATTAAATATGTAATGATGGCCTTTTGTGCTCGTGATATAATAATTATCATCTTGTATTGCAGGGGATTATGTCAATAAGACTATGATTATATTTTATACTATTAATCTTGTGACAATAATATTAATTTTGTGACATCTAATGTAGGGGTGTGTATCGGTCGGTTCGGTTCGATTCGGTTATAAGTATTATCGGTTCGGTTTATCGGTTTTCGGTTTTTAAATATGCTAAACCGATAACCAAACCAATAAGATATTTGTTATCGGTTTTCGGTTTATCGGTTTTAGGTCTTTAACGGTTCAGTTTTTGGTTTAACCAATAAGAAATGCTTTCAAAACAAATATATGACTTATCCAATAATTTGACGCGATACGCATACATCGAAATAATCATTCCAAACGGGACAACAAAGGACCAACTTGTTGTATTTGGTCATCACAACAAAGGCTTGGTTAAATTTTCGATCACCATAATATATAAAACGAGGTCCCCTTTATGCAATAAAGAGAATCAAAATAAACCAAATCATAAGACAAAAGTCAAAACAGTAGCAAATGAGGCCTATGCTTATGGGTAAACTAAATGAAGTTCTTACATTATTTTTAAAAAAAAAACACACAATTTGAATTCCTAACGTTAATCAAATTGCAAATATTTACAATCGTGCAAAAGTTAATATTAGTCAATTATAAACTAACTAAAGTAAATAAGTAATACTAAAAAGTAAAACCTAAAGGTTAAATAACTAAAAGTAGAAAATAATATATAAAACGAGATCCCCTTTATGCAATAAAGAGAATCAAATAAAACCAAATCATAGACAAAAGTCAAAACAGTAGCAAATGAGGCCATGCTTATGGTAACTAAATGAAGTTCTTACATTATTTTTAAAAAAAACACACACACAATTTGAATTCCTGACGTTAATCAAATTGTAGATATTTACAATCGTGTAAAATTTAATATTAGTCAATTATAAACTAACTAAAGTAAATAAGTAATACTAAAAAGTAAAACCTAAAGGTTAAATAACTAAAAGTAGAAAAGAGAGTTAATTGTTAAGTAGTGTTAATTATTGCGTAGGGTTTTATATTTTTAGTCTAATATACTACTAATTATATTAATATATTTTTTAATATATTATATATATGTATAACTAAAAATTAAAATAGTAAATTATTATATTCATAATGGGTTATCGGTTAACCCAATAACCCAATATTAAAAACCAATAACGAACCGATAACCCAATAATTTGTTTTTGTAAAACCATTAAATAACCGTTATCCCAATAACCCAATAACAATAAACCAATAACACTTTTTTCGATTCGGTTTATCGGTCGGTTCGGTTTTTGCACACCCCTAATCTAATGTGTAATGATCTAACTTGCCTTGGTCCTAAAGTCTCTTTTTTAATGATTATTGTCTAAAAGGATAATCAATATACCTACTATATATAGAACAATGATATATAATCATTTTAATAATCACACATGTGTAATTAATAATTATACCATTTTGGAAATTGTAGTAATTTACAAATATGTAAATATATAAGGTCATAAAGAAAAAGGTGAAGATAAAAGTTTAAATTTTATATATTTTAGAATTTCTGAAAGCTCGTGATAAAATCTATCAATAAGTAAGAAAAAGATTTTTATATTAACATGTTGGAACATAGATTAAAGATTTTTATGGTGAAAGTCTAATTGTACAATAATTATGAAGTTTGTTTGAAATTTGTCAATATTAATTAAAAATACGAAATTTAATTTAAATAGCACATGTAAAATCGAAGATACCTTGTGATATCAATGGATTGGGCCGGCCCATCGTCTTCCACTTTGAAAACAGGCAGTTCAGAGAGCCCACATGCTAATGGGCTTGTTGTAAAGAACTAACACAATGTTCAACCAATTAAATTTTAGTGCTCAATAATATGGGTGCACATAATTATTTCTTACTCTTTTTCAAATTACAGAAATCTCTTAAAATTTATGGATTTTGAATATTTCCGGATACATAAGTGAGGGATGTATCAGAAAGGATGGGATGTCCGGATACATCACTGGACTTCTGGATACATAAGTGAGGGATGTATCAGAGAGGATAGAATATCCGATACATCACTGGACTTCTAGATACATAAGTGAGGGATGCATCAAAGAGGGGATAGGATATCCAGATACATCACTGGACTTTCGAATACATCAACAGACATCCGGGTACATACGCTAGGGGACGTATCAGAGAGGGGAGGGATGTATCCGAGAGGGGAATAGAGATGTATCAGCCAGAGGAGAGTGATGTATCCGAGAGGAGATTTTTGAAATTCTTTTAAATGATAGGAAATTTTAGAGATTATAATAAAATAAGATATGTATTTAGATAATTGTCGTAACTTACTTCATTTTGAAGGGCAGTAGAAGTAGTGCCACGCAAGTGAGGCTCAACGGACAAAAGTGTGTATAAAAGGGGAAAAGCAGAATGAGGCAAATTTGGGAAAATTTGCCCAAAACATGGCTTGTGTTGCGGTGGTCTAAATGTTGTTGGTGGCTTCACTTTCTTCCAATATTCTTCTGTCGGTGAACCACATAACTTAAATATCTTGTGAAGTTGTTCAATCTGTAAAATTTAACCAAAAAATAATAGGAATGACATCTAGCTCATTTGTACCTCTAATCAAATATTGAATTAACTAAGTAACTTCGAATAATATAAGGTAAAAAAGTTTTAACAATTCACTAATAAAAACGATTTTAATAAAAAAAATATTGTTTTTTTTACCTCATTTCTACCAGGCAAAATAGGTCTTCCAACAAACATTTCAGCCAAAAGACAACCAGCACTCCAAAGATCAATTCCAACACTATAATTAGTGGAACCCAAAAGTAATTCTGGTGCTCTGTACCAAAGTGTCACAACTCTACTTGTAAGGGGAATCTTTGTCTTTCTTTCATAAAAATTTGCAAGTCCAAAATCACCTATTTTTAGTATCCCATTTTTGTCTATTAGCAAATTTGACCCTTTAATATCTCTATGCAATATTCCTCTTTCATGACAATGTTCGAGTCCACATAACAATTGCTCCATGTAACATTTTATCTGCAACAAAATCTTATTTAATATATATATTGATCGTGTAAATAATATCTACATTATTAGGGATCGTTTGTTTGTTGGCTAGAAAGGGGAGTTATTCATATATCAAAACAAGTATAGCTAATATAATGTTTATTGATTTATATAAAATTCAGTACACCAAGTAAGATGTTTGATTATCATTTGACAATCTCATCTTACAAATTATGAGTCAGTTTATTTACTATTATTTTATGCGGTGTAAAAAATGAAATATAGTAGAGATAATGTCAGTTTTTTTATCACATAATGATAAAATGCACTATATGGTCTTTGAACTCACATCTCTACTATGATAAGATGCATTTCTACCACTAAACTATTGGTGCTTATTGATTTAAAACTATGTTTATTTTATTTATACTCTTTAATTTAATTTAATTTTTGTGAAAAAACCTCGACCGATAAGATTAGAGATCGATTTGCAATTTCCAATTTATGGCGCTAGAAAATTTTTAAAACCCTACCGATAAGATTGATTTTTGATAGTTTCTTAACTGTGATAACTATACTCGACAGAGTAAGATCTCACGTTCTTAATCAGGATCTCGGGTTCCAAACTATACAAGAAAAACATTAAATAATTAGACACTCAATATAATTACCACATATATAATTCCTCTAAATTGTGCAATTAGACCTATTATATAAAAAAAAAAAATTATAAAATGAGGAAAATAAGTAATTTACTTACCTGAGGCTGAGTGAGTCTAATTCCTTGAGTGTGATTGATAAGTTTAGTTAAATCAGATTGCATAAAGTCAAAAACCAAATAAAGACTATAATGCATTCTTGAAGTAGCTAATCCTTCAAGCTTTATAATATTTGGATGATCAAGTTTCTTCAATATTATAATCTCTCTTGCCATAAATTTCACACTTTCTGGTTCACTTGTATCAAATCTAACCTTCTTTAAGGCTACTATTTTCCCACTTTTTCTATCTCTAGCTTTATACACATTGCTATATGTCCCTTGACCTACCTGCAAAAAAAAAACATGTATTAAGGTAATTACCAATTATTTTTGCGGAGTTAATTTCTCAGAGAGTTACTCAACTAATAGTTGTGGTTTCAGAAAATTGAAATTATCAAGAAGAAATACGACTTTATGAAATGATAACTATTAGTTGAGTCAGAATCATGACCATATGAGAAATCAACTATATGAGTTCGCTATGAGTTCAATTAATGTTTAATTATGTACGAAGTGTAGATATTTAGGTGAAACTTATAATTAAAATTTCAATAAATATTAAATATTGGACTCATAATGTCAAAGTGATAATGAAGGGGAGTCTTGAAGTAACGGTACTAAAGTTGTTTACGCGTGACCATATATAGGTCACATGTTTGAGTTGTAGAATCAACTAGTACTGAATTTGTGTTAGGGTATGTAGACTATTTACATCATAATCCCTTGGGTGAGACAACCCTTTCTCATATGTACACAAGATGTTTTTTGCACTAGGTTATTCATTTAATGCTGAAGTGCATGAAATATTATATTAAAAATCTTAAAAGTTGAAAGTTTAAATTCTGAATCCGACTGGAAATGAATTTACCTTATCAAGTTTTTCATATGAATCAGCAGTCTTTGGTACTAAACCAAGCAAAACCTCTTTAGGAATATTATCAACAAGCCATTTCGGCCATCCATCCACCAATTGATCGTCTCCTCCTATTTTCCTACCATTATCAATTATTCCTATTTTAACTCCATTATTTCCATTTCTTTTCTCTTCTTGATCAAGTTCTACATGATTCCCTTCTTGATCGCGAATTCGAGCAATATCCCTCATTTGTTGTTGTTGTTGTTCTCTTCGTCGTTGTTTTTCAACTCCATTTCCTTTAACATAACCATTCTCATTTTTCATCCTCTCAAGTCTTTCCGGAGTCATGAAACTATAACCCTTGCCTACTACACAACCCATTATGGTCCTTACACGATGCGAATCTCAAAAAATTCTTTTAACGTTTTGTGTGGAATAATATGAGTGGTGATAATAACTATAAATGGCAAAAAATGCTAGAGAAGTTGTAATTCTCTTTGTACATTTGGCCGGCAAATATTTATATTCATGTAATATTTGTAAAAAGTGTCATTTTCTTTTACTTCTTTGCTTTTATCGACATGGAAAATAATATGGAAAAATAAAATAAAATTATGAATTATGTCCATGATTAGTAACCAAATTCCTTCTGTTTTATCAAGGAAGTTTACTCTTGTTTTTGGAGATACATTTTTTGTTTAATTTGTAATAAAATAACAAAGTTTTGGCTAGTAGAACCTAGTCAAATTATATTATATACAATCTACTCTAAGTACAAGCCAAATGGCAAAAAATTCAATCCCTTTAATTTGCCGTTAACTTTGATTTCTTAACTCAAAATTGGGGATTAAGGTCTAGTGCTTCGAGGCTTACGTCTTTCTTATATGTCAGGTAAAACGTTTCACTTTATATGAGTGCCTCTTAAAAAAACAGTTGTCTAACAAGAGTGGTTCACATACATATTCCTAAGAATAAGTATATGATCATTTATGTTAAAAAATGAAAAAAAGTTTCACATGATAGTTAATGATATAAGTCATCTCCTTATATAAAGCTTGGACAATCCAATTTTACATAGCATCAAAGCTAAACAAATCTCACATTGATAATTAATAAAACCTATAATTATTATTACCGATGTGTTTTTTTGTATATGTAAACTCTAATAATATTGGTAGTATGATGACATCTATACTGCCTATTCTTCTAGAGGAACATTTGTCATCTATCTGCCTATTCTTCTAGAGGAACATTCGTCATCTATCTACATATTCTTCTAGAGGAACATTTGTAGTTTACGTATGTTCAAAAATGTATCTATTTTGTAGTATGTTCACTAACATGAACATTTATTTTGATTATGTTTCTCTTGGATTGTCAGTTCAACAACATGGACAACTATTTTGATCATTTTCTTCTTGCATCGCTAGCATATTATGTAAATTAGCTCTTCAAACTAATTCACATCCTAAAAAATTATTTCAAAGGAAAGAAGATTGTGTAAGTCTTATGACTCAGCTTTTTAACACTTTTTCATTTTTGAGAAATTTCAAAATTATTTGAAAAATTCATAACATGATATTAGTTTTTTCATTCCTTTTAATTTGTTTGTCCTACCTTTTTTTTAGTCTTTTCAAAAATGTTTATTTTCCTTTTTAACAACTTTTATAATTCTAACTTTAGACATGACATATTTAAGACCACATGATTAAAAAGTATTTTAATAAATTTGACATATCTTTAATTTAAAATTATAAGATTAAAACTTCTTCTATATTTTTTAAAACTTTATAATAAGTTGAAATAAAAACAAATAAATTGAAAGAATGGGAGTAGGACGACTTTTCTTTAGGCCAGTAGTTAGGATGAGGCTTTGTATCCTCCTCACCTTAGGCATATCACAACTTAGAAACATAAATTTCAGAATTATCAGTTAAATGTAACCAATACTGTATATAATTAATTTATATACCCAAGATAAAATTACGTATAATAGATATTTGTGATTCGATTTTTTCAAGATTCCATGCATAACGAGAGCTTAATGCATTAAGATGCTCTTTTTTATATATAATAGATATTTATGGTCCGATTCTTTTCAAGGTTCTGTACATAACGAGAGTTTAATGCACCAAGTGTTAGGGTTTTGCCCTGATTTTCTTACCTTATTTGAAGTTTATTTTTCCTAAAAGAAAAGACAAAATATTACCATAAATGTTTTTACTTTTCATGAAAGGAAAATATATTTTTCTTTCATATTTGGTTTATTCTTTCTTTAGAGGGAAGTTTGGAATCCTATAAATTGAAGATCCATATTCTCATAACCAGTGGCGGAGGGAGGATTTTCATCAAGGGGGTTCAAAAAAAATTAATCACGTAAATAATATCCACAAATAAATTAAACGGGTCAAATCGGATATAAACGGGTCGGATTAAACTGTTGAATCAAGAAGAAAAGGGCTTTTTAATATTTGACTTTATAATTAGGGATTAAACTAATAAATCCTAAATTTCCAATCAGCGTTTTAATTTTTGGAACTAAACATCATTTTCTGATTGCATTATTATATTTTTAAATAAATTAAAACGCCTAAAATATAAGCTGATAAAAGAAATGCCTCTGCCTGGATTCGAACACGCGACCTCGCGTGCAGTAGAGCGAATTCCTGAACCCCCAAAGCCACTGAGCTACGCCTTTGGTGTATGTTCAGGGGGTTCAGTACTATATATATACACGTATATTAAAAATTTAATCTTATATATATAGTGTAATTTTTTGACGAAGGGGGTTCGGATACCCATTCGTCCTACGTAAATCCGCCCCTGCTCATAACATAACACAATAGAATGCACAATGTAGATGCTTAAGAGTTTAGTTTATGGGGAGATTTTTCACTCTACAGTTTTAATATTCTTTGTTTATATTAGTTTTCATATGTAGACCAATTGGTCAAATCATATAATAATATTTTGTTTTTAGTATATGTTTTTGTTATCTAATTTATCACTCATGATTTGCAATTGTAAGCTTCCGCATGACACCATAATCACTTTCGAACCCAACACCAAGATACTCCTTTTTATATATAACAGATATTTATGGTTTGATATTTATCAAGATTCCAAATATAACGAGAGCTTAATGCACCAACATGCTCTCTTTTTTTACCCAAAAAAAAGAAATTATTGTAACTCCTCTAATGATTGGAATTGTAGAAAATTTTATGCCCGGTAAATAGAGTATATATTGGCATTAATGATTAAACCATATGCATAAATGTTACTCTCTTTCATTTTAATTTGACACATTTTGATTTGATTCGACATAAAATTTTAAAAAGTAAAAAAAAAAGTTTAAACTTTGTAGTATTAAGCTAAAAATATGTTCAATGCACTAGAATGTCCTTTCATCTTGTATTCTTAAATATGTTTAGTGAAAAGTTGAAATTAAAAAGTCAAAAAGGAAAAAAAGAATATTCTTTTTTGTTTGAACGAACTAAAAAGAAAAGTAGAACAAATAAATTGAATCAAAAGAAATCATTCCTTTTCATATCCACATTCCAAGTAGAACAAAAAATGTGAATTTAAATCTCGTGTTCTTTCGTGAACCAACTAATTTCAAGAATCTCATAATTCCACAATTTTACGTATGTTTTACTTTTTAAAATAAGCCAACTATAGTATTTTAGGACATTCGGATACTATTTATTTAGGATTCACAAATATTTATTATTAAAAAGAACATGGAGATATGTAATTTACTAATATGTCACCTAATACATTTCAATATCTTGTTAAGGAACTATACCAAATGGAACTTTTATATTTATTAAAAAAAAAAAAGACTTCTAAATTGCATGTTCAAACAAATTTCTCGAGTTCCATAAGAAAGTCCTACAAAATCCTTTGCCTTAAGATGGTGAAGAGAATGAAAAGCATAAATTAAGGCTATATTACACATAACAATACAAATGTATGTAATCACAAGATTGTTTTAAAACTTTTTATGAACAATTCAGAGCATCATTTTTACTTTCAACCGATCAAGAATTTGATCCTCGAGCTGAGGAGAATTTTCTGTTTATGGTATTCATTTCAAGACTCTACAGTTTGTTATTTAACGAACTCGCTGAGGCTAACACTGTCCCCACCGCTAACGGGTCTCAAAATGGGCTGTCCAAGATCAAATGGTCCCAAAGAGTCTTCCTGCAAAGCAAGCATATGAATGGAGCATGTTAAGTTCTACTGTGGACAAGAAGAAAGATTTCAGATGGAACAAGCAAAGTGAAAAGGCGAAAAGTACCCATTTGATGTTTGCCCTTTAGCCCAAGGCTGCTGTCTTCATTGAAAACACCCCGTGAACGAGGAAAGAGGGCTGTCTTTGGTTGATGAGATGATTGATCCTGCATAATCAGATTTTGAGTTGCGCGCTGTAATTATTTCAGAATATATAAGAAATTGTCAATCCTTCCATGAGAATATCACAAAGTCGTGTAATAGTGAAGCAGCAAACAAGTTCAGGAAGCTCCACACTTAAGAGTTGATCCTTAATCCGAAGCAGTATTATCAAAAGCCAAAACTAATGATGGTCAAAAATAAGCTATTTGAAACTGAAACCAGAAAAGATTACAGCAAACAAACCTCAGCAGCATTAGAGGATGATGGAATTCTGAAAGATTTTGAATTGTCAGGACCAGCTGTTCCGCACAAAGTTGTGGCGTTTTCATTTCCTGATGAAGCTTTACGCACTGGAAATGCATGGCATGTCTCTTCAGCATCCAAGATAGATGAGTGCAAATCATGAGGTGATGACTTGGAAATTTCAGGTTGTGAATTAATGCATGCAGCAACAAACGCATCCTGCGAGCTTGGTTTGTCCTCACTTCTTTGGTCATGTTTTTTTAGTTTCTCCAGCAAGGACACCTCAGACAGAAATCCTCCAATGCTCAAGTTAGTGCAATTAAAATCCCACAAAAAATTTGACTCAATGTGGTGGCCACACTCTGATGTTTCCTTCAACCCAGATGTTTCTTTTGAAGCTAAATTGAAATCACTAATCTTTCCCTGAGAAGACGCTTCAGAAGGGAAGTTTCCTGTGCTAAAGTAGGAACTAAATGGCGGTGGCTGCAAATCCAATTTATTTTCTGAGTTGCTGATCTTTCCTGGCATAGATGCCTCAGAAAACAATCCTCCTATGCTTAGGTTGGTCAAAATATCATTCCACGGATTATCCATCTTTGAAAGGACATTCTGCTTTCTTACTTCATCAACCTAGAAAGGAGTATCAAGTACTGAATTTTAAGATGTCTATAGCATTTTCCACTAGTAAAAAAGTACATCTACATCCTTTGAGAGGAATCACCTCTACGGACTAAAACAAT